AAAAAAAAGTCACAGCAAAGGATCCAAAACAGAGAAAACGAAAGAGACATAGAAACTTACCAAACCTTACCTCGGAAGCCAAACGGTAAGGTTAACAACAACATTGTTTCCAGCAACCCAACAAGAAAGAAGAAAAAGCTCCTAAACATACAAAACGATGTCGTTTTGCAAAATGGGGAGGAAAAAAAAAGATGTATCCGTCCAATTGAATAACACACTTTTCATTCTTGTCATTCAATTGAAGGCTAAATCAGGGGCAATTAGAACAGCAGCTTGCTAAGCTACTTTATATATATATATATATATATATATATATATGAAATATAGATATGGTTCAATGTTGAATTTGTTATATAGCAAACATAAAAAATATAATTATAAAATTCAATATTGAAATATAATGTAGCATTCAAGTATTTATTTATTAGTTAGTGTATAATTTTTCTTTAAAAAAAATGTAAAATTCGAATTCCATTTCTTTCAAATATAAAAAAAAAATTGAAACATAATATAATGATAAATTTGATATTTATATCTATCTCTAATTTCTTTCCAATTGCTTTGGATCTTGGCTTTGCTGTCTGTTTGCCCATATTGATAAACTAGCAACCAAGGAATAATTTATCTAGTGTACGGATTGGTTGTAGCCTGGTATAAGTTTTTTCATGAGCTTTTACGGGACAACAGACAAGCTAAGCTTAATTGCATCTGCTTTTGGACCACATAAAAACAAAACCTAGTTAGATGTTTTTTTTTCTTTATTGAGAAAGAAAAATTCTAATCTAATAATTTTTTGAATGAAAAAAACGATACATACATTTTAAATTAAACTAAATACTGGAGTAAACTTTATCTGAGTTGACGCACAGGAGAACAATGTGCTTAAATAGGAATCCCTATGTTCCTTTTTCGGAAGACAAACAATCACGAGAGGCCAATCGCGAATGCCCGTATAGTCTAAAGTAGCAGGGGAAAGTGGCAATGATTAATACTTGGTAGAAATCATAAGTATCATTTCGGTAGATGGACTGGAACATGATGCTCACTTCAGTAGGTTTTCATAAAAAGAGACTCCGGTGGTTCAGCAATTAATGACTCTCTTCAAGATATTAGTTGGACGATTGTGGTCATTGTCACACACACATACATATATATATATATAATATAATTAAATTATCGCTAAAATTACACTTCAATATTTCAATCACTGCAGTCATATATATATATATATCAAGATAGGAACAAAGTTAAACTAGTGTGTCGATTATGAACAATTATGTCTTCTTGTGTGTGTATATGTAAGGGTGTATATATAGGGGCATTACTACTCGAATACCTATGCAAGAAAATGAATTGCACTAATTTCACTCGATTTGAATCAAAAGGATCCCAAACCCGAAGGTGACATTACGTACCCAATCACAACCAATTGTAAGAGTGACAATAATTAGGAACATACAAACTGGCAACTAGAAGTTGAACCTTATTCTTACTCATGAGCTGGCTTAGTTAGGCTTGTCGATGCTGGCTTCTAGTGTTTCATTATTTGTACTGTATTAGAAAATTGATGTACAGAGCAATTATGGCCAATCAGACGACCTTCTCGTTATCTTTTTCAACTCACAGAGGTCATCACTTGGAGCTGTACCAAACGAACCTTTCAACAAGGAAACACCCTCTCTTGTTTGATTCCGTTACTTTTAGGCAGTTTCAGCAAACGTTCTATTTAACTCTGCAACAAAAGCACTCAATCCTCTAATCAAGAAACGCTCCATGCTCTTTCTTTCGTTCAAGCTCATAAATTCTTGGCTTACAAAGAAACTACTTTTTGGGAAGTTGGTGAACTGAAAGCTCTCAAGAGCAAATAGAAACATTTTTATTCATATCAAACGTATGGCTAGCAAGCTACGACTTGACTTTTGCTGAAATCTTGTTACAACGAATCCAATATGGCATCAGTTTTAGCGGGAGATGATCTAGCAGCAAGATCACTGAGCAGCGGAAGAGGGTGGGGGTCGGCAAGGTTCCGGGAAATTTGGCAATCTCCACCAGAAGTTTTCGAGCGGAGCCGACGGCATGATACGGAAGAAGACCTCATGTGGGCTGCCATCGAACGACTTCCAACGTATGATCGTTTGAGAAAAGGTATGCTAAGGAAAGTTGCTGATAATGGGAACGTAGTTCTTGACGAAGTTGACGTAACTAAGCTTGGAACACAACATAAGAAGCAGCTGATGGGGAGTATTTTGAAGGTTGTTGAAGAAGACAATGAAAACTTTCTTAGGAAATTAAGGGACAGAACTGATAGGTATATGCTGTCATTTTTTTTTCCGGATTAATCTTTCTTGGCCTCTTTTTAAGATTTTAACCGATTTATGGCTTTGGGTTTTTTGATTGATGAAGAGTTGGTATTGAAAGTCCAAAGATTGAAGTTCGATTTGAGCGTTTGTCAGTTGAAGGAGACGTGTATGTAGGAAGTAGAGCTCTTCCTACGCTGCTTAATGTTACCTTGAACACAGCGGAGGTATCTCTTTTCTGTTTTTCTCTTTTTTGTTTCCTTAGATATAATTTAAAATTTTGGATGGGGATGGTAATGTTTTGAAGTTTACAGAGAAAAAGCGTTTCTATTGCAGAAAGCTTGAAAAGATTAAAAAAAATAAAACATGTTTAAATTATTAAAAAATTTAAACAAATTTTTATTTTTTTATTATGTTCAATAAAATCATATCATTGTATTTTTTATTTAAATCAAATAAGTCATTATAATTAATCGTTAATTAATTGACATCTGACCATTTAACTTATTGATTGGTGCATGATCTTTTATCTAAAGAGCAAAATACGAATCCCCACTTCTAATTATAAAAAAAAATTATTAATTAAAATGTTACTTGTTATTCTATGCATGAACATATCATAATTGACATATTATGATGATGACGTGATATATTAATATAATATGATGACATGCATACAGGTGAGTATAAAGTGACAAGTGAAATTTTTATTAATAATAATTAATCTGTCATTACTTATAAAAGTTGATTTTATTCAAAAATAAGATTAACCCTAATAAAAAAAATAACTCATTTAAAAATTTTAAAGTAATTCAAAAAATTTTTTATGTACTATCTTAAAAGTAATTAATTTGTTTTGGTTTTTTATAATTGTCCTTCTAACTCTCACTGGGTTGACGTGACGTGCAGTGAGTGAAGGAGAGCGTCAAATAGAGTTTTCTTGTTTCACAATTTTTAGTGTATTTTTCAAAGTTGTTACTTGTGGGTAATTGCTTTCCGTCTTTTTCATCTTGCATGGAGCATAGAGTATTCTTGGATTGATTCGGCTTCTACCAACTAAGAAGAGAAAGATTGAGATTCTTAAAAATGTTAGTGGAATGGTCAAACCATCAAGGTAAGAAGTACGGTTCCAGTAGAGTTGTTCTAAAAATATTAAAAAATTTAATTATTAAATCAAATCATATTTTTTTTTGAAATAAAATGAAGAGAAATATTGAATTTTGTAAATTATTGAAAGGTAAAAGTGATATCTAAGAAGATCTTATTAAATATTTATTACTATATATTAAACACATTTTTTAAAAAGTTTTGATTAATTTATAGTTTGATTTAAAAAGTCGTTAATAGAAACGTTGATCCTTTAGTTGAGTCAAGCAACTAGAATGTGTAACAATCCAACTGTGTAATCGTTTGACAACGTACAATGTTGCATACAAAATGTCGATTTCTTCTTATTGACAGTGAAGCTAATCTGAAAAATGAAATGACTAATACTGTATGAATTAATGATTTGATATGAAAAATTTTTAGGATGACCCTGCTCCTCGGTCCTCCAGCCGCAGGGAAAACGACATTGCTGCTGGCACTTGCAGGAAAGCTTGATCATGATCTAAGGGTGACTTTCTCAGCCTCTTTAAGAATTCTTTTGCTTAATAGAACTGAATGCTGATAATTACTTGGAATATTTCTCTGATAACTTGGCATTGGGAGCAGTCTTGTGGGAGAATTACCTACTGTGGTTATGAAATGAATGAGTTTGTCCCTCAAAGAACATGTGCTTATATCAGTCAACATGATCTTCACCATGGTGAAATGACCGTGAGGGAGACACTGGATTTCTCGGGACGGTGTCTGGGTGTTGGCATGAGGTATGAAATACTGAAAGAGCTCTCTAAGCGGGAACAAGAAGCAGGAATTAAGCCAGATCCAGAAATTGATGCTTTCATGAAAGCAACAGCAATGGCAGGCCAAGAAACTAGCTTGGTCACAGATTATGTTCTTAAGGTTGGCTTTCGCATAATTTTATATATCCATTGAACCGACCAACGCACGCAAACTGACACATCTAATGATCTTTAACAGATACTTGGATTAGAAATTTGTGCGGATACTCTGGTTGGAGACGAAATGCGAAGAGGGATTTCTGGTGGGGAAAAGAAGCGTTTGACCACAGGTATGCTTGTCAGCAGAATTTGCATCTGTATGTCTAGGATCAGTTTTCTCTGACATAAGAAAAATTTTATTTGCTTCACATTGAGTCCCTCTAAACTGATTGATAATGCTGCTACAGTGCATAATTATTATAATTCTGATCTGTTCTTTAATGCACACTTATTTAACACCAGGATGTCAAAAATTTTGCTTAACATCGACTATACTTTATAATATTAGTTTCCTGGCCTAATTCTCCAACTACTCCTGAGAATATACTGAATGTTGGTTTTCTAATGATTGAAGCATACCCCTTATTAGACATTGGTAGTCTAATGGTTTCTGTTCACCTCAATTGTAGGAGAAATGTTGGTTGGACCAGCAAAGGCCTTCTTTATGGATGAAATATCAACAGGGCTGGACAGTTCTACAACTTTCCAGATTTGCAACTTCATGAGGCAAATGGTTCATGTCATGGATGTAACCATGGTCATTTCTCTTCTACAACCAGCACCAGAGACATATGATCTTTTTGACGACATTATCCTACTCTCGGAGGGTCAAATTGTCTACCAAGGTCCTATTGAAAGTGTCCTTGAGTTCTTTGAATACATGGGTTTTAAATGCCCTGAAAGAAAAGGAGTTGCTGATTTTTTGCAACAAGTAACTTCCAAGAAGGACCAAGAGCAATATTGGTTCAGAAAGGACCAACCTTACAGACATGTTACAGTTTCTGACTTTGTGCAGGGCTTCAACTCATTCCACATAGGCCAAAAGCTTGCGTTGGATCTTACGGTTCCTAATGACAGATCCGACGCACCCCATCCAGCATTAGTTGCAGAAAAGTATGGCATTTCAAATTGGGATCTGTTCTGGGCATGCTTTGCGAGGGAGTGGCTGCTAATGAAACGTAACGCATTCGTGTACATATTTAAGACTACCCAAATTACAATCATGTCACTAATTGGCATGACAGTATTCTTTAGAACAGAAATGCATGCAGGCACTTTGGAAGACGGAGGAAAGTTTTTTGGAGCATTGTTTTTCAGCCTAATTAATGTGATGTTTAACGGGATGGCAGAACTTGCGTTGACAGTTTTAAGGCTTCCTGTTTTCTATAAACAAAGGGACTACTTGTTCTACCCTGCATGGGCTTTTAGCCTTCCTATTTGGGTCCTCAGGATCCCATTGTCATTTGTGGAATCAGGAATATGGATCATCCTCACATACTACACAATTGGATTTGCTCCAGCTCCTAGCAGGTAGACAGCCTTGCATTTCCACAATTGGATCAACCTCACATATTACACAATTAGCAGTTTCTTGATAATCATGCATATTAGGAAATTTAGTCCGAGTTTAAATATTCAATTTCTATATCCTAATTACTGGTTTGGCGTACACTTCAACTAAATAACATCACAACTGTGATACTTAATTTCTCTTATCTAATAATGCTTTTCCTTTGTATCTGCAGGTTCTTCAGACAGTTCTTGGCATTCTTCGGCATCCATCAGATGGCTCTATCCCTCTTTAGGTTCATTGCTGCTGTGGGGAGAACCGAAGTCCTTGCAAGCGCATTGGGTACCTTCACCTTGCTAATCATTTTTGTGCTTGGAGGATTCATCGTTTCCAAAAGTAAGTAGTTCATCTCTCCCTACTGTCACATAATGAAGAAGTTAAACCAGGCCGTAAACAAAGCCAGGGCATCTTAATATTCCTAAAAATAATAATTACTAGCAGATGATAGTCTAAGATATCCTTTGCTGCGTTTTTTATGTTTTAATGTAAATGGCAGCTTCAGTTCAAGCGTGATAACCTTTTTTCTAAGTGCAGAAGACATTGAGCCATGGATGATATGGGGCTACTATTTGTCTCCTATGATGTATGGACAGAATGCCATAGTCATGAATGAGTTTCTTGATAAAAGATGGAACGCTGTAAGATCTCTTAAGCATTTTTCATTTCCTGCAACTTGTGGCATATCTATAGATGCATCTACACATATAAACTCTGGTTAGGCATCTCCTTTTTCTAGAGCTTAAATATCTTACTAGTTGTTTTCAAATGCAGCAAAATAATGACACCAGAATTAATGCCGCCACTGTTGGTCAAGTCCTTCTCAAGACTAGAGGCTTTTTTACAGAAGATTATTGGTTTTGGATTTGTGTTGTGGCACTTCTCGGGTTTTCTATTATCTTCAACATTTTATTTATTGGAGCGTTGATTTACCTGAATCGTAAGTTACATTAATTTCTTTTATTTGAATGAAATCTCAATACTTCAAACCATTTTCTGTATGTATCAATATTCAGCTCTGGCGTACTTTCTTTCATATGTATTCGTAATTTCTTCCATCTGAATCGAAAGTTGGAGATTGACAAGCAGTTTCTATGCGGATCAATTTTCAGCTCTGGGTGATTCCAAAGCAGTAGTTGTTGACAAAGATGAAACTAAGAAGAATGAAGAGTCATTCTCTGGACAACACACAGAAGAAGGTGAGAAAACATATTGAATATTTGATTGATTGAGAAAGTTATATTAATATGTCAATTCAAATCTCAATGAACAAAACAATTCTTCCTAGATGGTGCTTTATACCTTTAGTCTGTATTGCTCTAAAAACCTGAACTTTTGTGAATGATTGTAGGCGCTGCTATCTCAGCGAGAAATTCTTCAAATGTTTCCATTGTTGTGGACCGGGCAACTAGAAAAGGAATGGTGTTGCCTTTCCAACCCCTCTCACTTGCATTCAACCACATTAACTACTACGTGGATATGCCTTCTGTAAGTTACTAATAATTCCTTAATGTTTTACTTGTTGCTGTATAATAAGATCAGTATAAAATTTTTTGGAGAAATTTTAATTTTATGACCAAAAGGCTAAGGTGAAAGAATGGTCTTTTCCATTCTAGGGAATGAAAAGTCAGGGAGTTATAGAGGATCGTCTTCAGCTGCTACGAGATGTCAGTGGTGCTTTTAGAGAAGGTATTTTGACAGCATTAGTGGGTGTCACTGGTGCTGGGAAGACAACCCTGATGGATGTGTTAGCAGGAAGGAAAACAGGGGGATATATTGAGGGAAGTATTAGCATCTCTGGTTACCCAAAGAACCAAGCTACATTCACTCGTGTCAGTGGCTACTGCGAACAAAATGATATCCACTCGCCTAATGTCACTGTTTATGAATCTCTCCTGTACTCGGCCTATCTCCGCCTTTCTTCAGAAATTGACACTAAGACAAGGAAGGTATTATTTCTAATAAAATCATCTGGCTTTTTTGTTCTAATTACCAAACTCTGACCTATTGCTTATAGTATAAAGGTAATTCCTTTGGTCTATGCACAGATGTTCATTGAAGAAGTTATGGAGTTGGTTGAGCTTAAGCCAATAAGGGATGCTTTAGTTGGGCTTCCGGGAATAGATGGTCTTTCAACAGAACAAAGGAAGAGGTTGACGATAGCGGTTGAATTGGTTGCTAATCCTTCTATCATCTTTATGGATGAGCCAACATCTGGACTCGATGCCAGGGCTGCTGCAATTGTCATGCGTACAGTGAGAAACACTGTTGATACAGGTAGAACTATAGTGTGCACAATTCACCAGCCAAGCATAGACATCTTTGAAGCTTTTGATGAGGTATTTCTCAATTTCTAGATTTTTCTCTCAGAATTTGCCTCCTGCCTTTTTCCCTTCATTATTTCATTTATAATACTCATTTTCAACTCAGTATTTTGCTTGTTCAGCTGCTATTGATGAAAAGGGGAGGGCAAATCATTTATGCTGGACCTCTTGGTCTCAACTCTCACAATCTTGTAGAGTATTTTGAAGTGAGCATTTGGTTTCACCCTGTTCTAGTGTTGATTCTATTTATCAATACATAGACCAATAATAAGAGGAAGTTCCTATTAGACAGTTACAATTCATCAACGTAGCAAAAACCAATATTTCTAGTAAGGAAATGTAAAGCATTCGCTAAAACAAGTGCTCTGTTTGCCTTGCAGGCAATACCGGGGGTTCCAAAGATCAAGGACGGATATAATCCTGCAACATGGATGCTTGAGATCAGCACTCCAGCAGTTGAGGGTCAACTGAACGTAGACTTTGCAGAAATTTATGCTAAATCCTCACTTTATCAGTACGCTTGAATCTAAGGCCATAGTTAAGACGAAATTATATTTACTCAAGTGGTTTAGGACTAGTAGTCCCATTCTGCTCTCATTTTGTTGTTGAAAATAATGCAGGAGGAATCAAGAACTTATCAAAGAGCTCAGTACTCCAGCTTCAGGCTCCAACGATCTCTACTTCCCAACCAAATATGCCCAACCATTCCTTTCTCAGTGCAAGGTTTGTTTCCTGAAACAGCATTGGTCTTACCTAAGGAACCCTCAGTATAATGCCATTAGGTTCTTGATAACATTTGTTCTTGGAGTCTTGTTTGGCCTCATCTTCTGGAACAAAGGACAACAAATGTAAGTCCTATAATTTCTTTTATTGATTAAATAGTTGCCGTTGATTGTAAGATCTTTGAATTCTGATTTTGTCACTCAACTAACCAAAATACTTTTTTTTTTTTTGTCAATAGAGCAAAACAACAAGATGTGTTGAATTTTTTTGGAGCGATGTATTCTGCTGTGTTTTTCCTTGGAGCTGTCAACGCTTCCTCAGTGCAAGCAATAGTTGCAATTGAGAGAACAGTCTTCTATCGTGAAAGAGCAGCTGGCATGTATTCTCCACTGCCTTACGCATTTGCTCAGGTGGAGAATTCACTTCAATAAAAGCTTCTCTTTTCCCATTCCTAGTAATGCTGGACTTATGAACCATTTACCTCCCTTGTTCTTCAGGTGGCTATAGAGACAATTTATACCTCAATTCAGACTCTCATTTACGTTCTGCTTCTTTACGTGATGATCGGGTATGAGTGGAAGGCTGGAAAATTCCTATGGTTCTACTACTACATAACAAGTAGTTATGTCTACTTCACACTGTATGGTATGATGGTTGTTGCACTAACTCCAGGCCACCATATTGCTACAATTGTCATGACTTTCTTCCTCAGTTTCTGGAACATATTCTCTGGTTTTCTCATTCCTAGACCGGTACATGATCTCAACATCTCGTCTCCTAAAATATTCACAAGAGGAAGGAAAATAAAACACAAAGAAAACTAATAGTTGTATTCATCCATTGCAGCAAATCCCTATATGGTGGAGGTGGTACTATTGGGCCACTCCATTGGCTTGGACACTCTATGGCCTTATTACCTCTCAAGTGGGAGACAAAGACATTTTGCTTGAGGTACCTGGATCCGCTGACATACCGCTGAAAACATATATTAAGGAAATGCTTGGCTTCGAGTATGACTTCCTTCCAGTGGTTGCTGTGGCACATATTTTCTGGTGCCTGCTCTTCTTCTTCGTCTTTGCCTATGCTATCAAGTTCCTCAACTTCCAAAGGAGATAATAAGCTTCTTTCAAACTCAAGTTAGTTTTAGGATTATCTATATATTACATTACATGAGATAATTAATACAATAAGAATGACCTAATAAAATTAACAATACTTTACAATTTTTATGATACATATATTAGGAGGTACAAGGGGGCAAGTGGTATGGAACTTGAGAGCTCAATCTTTTTGAAAGATCAGTAACACCTACCAAGTCTGAAATAATAGTTCATGAACTACTAATTTAGTTTCATATTCATATTGTTCTTTTTTCTTTGTTTTCCTTATTTGTTTTTTTTTATGTCATTCATTTCCATTATTTTTTAATATAATTACCCAATAGCAGTAGAATATTCGCATACAAATAGAATATATTTACTAGCTATTTTAATTAGGAGCAATTTAGGATTAGAGGTCAGATGAGGATTTGATGTCTATCCTACAAGTTGATGAGGAGAAGCCATTTATAAATAAAGTTTGGAAAATGTTCTTTGATGGAGCTCAGTATGTCTTTGGACATGGAGTTAGGAAAGTCTTAATATCTCAACATGGGAATTATTATCCAATAACTATAGGCCGGATTTTTTTTTTTATACTAATAATATTGCAGAATATGAGGTATGTGTTATGGGACTTTTAGCGATACTTGAAAGCAACATTGATGAGCTCGAAGTGTATGGAGATTCTACTTTAGTTATCTATCAATTACGAGGAGAATGGAAAATAAGAAACCCAAAGCTAGTCTTATGCTAGAAATACATAGTAAAAATGACTAAAAAGTTCAGCAAAATTCATTGAACTATTTGCCTTGAGAGGAAATCAAATTGCTAACTCTCTAGTTACCCTCGTTGTGATGTTAAGGTTGAGCACGAATTTCAACATCCAGCCTATAAAGATTTGCTTACGAGAATGATTGGCACATTGCTCAAGTATTGAAGAAAAGATAGATGGAAAGCCATGGTATCATGATATTCTATAACACATCAAGCATCAGCGATAACTAGGGCAAATCTCTAAGAATGATAAAAGAATTATCACAAAGACAACGATGGGATTTTTCCTTGTGGAGAAGTGTTATACAAAAGACACTGAGATCAAGTGCTCTTGAGGTGTGTAAATACTAATGAAGCTAGAAGAATAGTGGAGGACGTTCATGAAGGAATTTGTGGATCACATGCAAATGGACACATGATGGTTAGGCAAATCATGAGAGCAGCTTAATATATATCATAAGTGTCAAATATATGTAGATATGATACACACTCCGCGGCCAGCCCTTTTACATGTTCTGGAACTTCCATGGCCTTTTTCTATGTGAGAAATGGACGTAATTGGATCCATTACTCCAAAAGCTTCCAACGGACATCGATTCATCTTGGTAGTTATTGGTTACTTCACAAAGTGGATGGAGGCAACATCTTATGCTAATGTAACACAAATATTTGTATGCAAGTTTATTAAGAAAGAGGTAATAAGCCAATATGTCAAAAGCTTGCAAAGCATTGACAAGTTCAGTAAAAAAGACTTGGTGAAGTCCTTGGAGTCTTTTAAAGAGGATATTTTAACTTCAAACTTCTTTGAGAGACTCACAAGTAGCTTGTTAACAACCTTTTTTCTGTGAGGCACACTTTTAGAGAGAATAACAAATTGGCCGATCGACTTGCAAAAGCTGGGGTTCAACGCACAGAGGACCTGGTGTCTGTGCTGGAATAGGCCTCCGCTTTTTGGTGCCATTGTTAAAGTGAGAAAGGAAACCAAGTGAAGAGGGAGTATTATCATACTGCAGAGGGAGTATTATTCATAGAGGCTGAAACTGCTTCTGCTATGGATGACTTGATTCAAGATTTCAGCGATTCTTCAGAGATTTCGCAGCTAGTTCCTATAGTCGATTATTCAGGAGGAATATCGTCTTGTTCACTTCTCTTGTTGCAGGTGTACAGGGGAGATTCTTTTCTTTTGCTGATTCTGAGTATGAATATTTGGTTGTGTAGGTGTTTTTTGGTTTTGTGCTTGACAAGATCATCTCTGTCTGTTTGGTTGAGGTTTGCTAACCTCTTTTTGTTTGATGGGGGATATATATGCTGCTTTTCTGGGGAAGGCAGGGGTTGGTTTTGTTGCTGCAGATCTGATTTTTGTGTTTGTACAGCTTTTCCTGGAGGCTATTCTCTTCCTTTTGGCTGTAGCTTTGTTTCTTTATGAATGAATTTTACTTTTCAAAAAAAAAAACAACCTTTTTTCTAGCAAGTCTTCATTTAGCAATCTTAATTGATTAACTGTACTCATGACCCTGTCAGCATATTGCTTAATGGTGTCAATTTCCTTCATTTAGAGAACTTCAAACTCCCTAAGCAAGTTGAGAACTTGGATTTGTCTAGTTCTCTCACTTCCTTGGAATTCTTTTTAAAGCTTCTCCCATACTTCCTTGGTTGTTTTGCAAGCCATTACTATTATAAATATATGGTCGGTAATAGCAAAACGAATACAAGACAAAGCTTTGTATCATTTAGTAACATTTTCACTGTGTTACTTCATTTGGGCAATGGTTGGGTTTGCCTTGAAAGTTGGAGGATCTCCTCTTGTTTCTACTACCTACTAGAGATTGAAGGCTCTAAGATAAGCTTTCATCTTGACAGCCCATATAAGGTGATTCTCACCAGAGAATACTGGTGGCATAAGGGCAGAAAAGTTTGTGGAAGCCATGAATGGTAAGCTAAGTGTTTTGTTGGGGTGAGTTTTCTAGATTTGTGAAGGTTAACTAACTTGTTTTGTCTCTTTTTCAGGTCCCTCAATAGCTCATAAGCTTTGATACCATGTTGAAGAAGCTGTGCACAGAAAATGTTTGATGAAATGCTTAGCTTGCAATACTAGAAACAGAACAGAAAAAGGAAAATGAAAAGGTACTTCCATTGTCATTGCATAGAGGTTTCTTTTATGCAAAGAGAATGACATGATTAGTCATTAATTTAGGTAAGCTACTTAACATAAAATACTTAAAAGTTCTCGTTAAACCAGGAACAAGTTAAGCTAAAGTAACAAAAAGACCTGAGAAAGTCATGTCAGTAGGTCTGACATGAGGTATGGCAGTGCAGAAAAAGATATCCCATGCCGTCATCAGTGCTTCAACACCAAAAAGAAAAAGCTTTTTGGCACCAAGGAAGTTCATCACTAGAGCCTTAACTTCAACAGATTATTCTCTCCAATGACAAGCGTTTTAACCGATGCAATGGTGTTAACTGATTGCTGAAGATATTGCTGCAATGATGTTAACAGATGATGCTGATCGGTTTCCTTTGGTACTACAAATATTTATCACCTCCGAAAGCTTACAAAGTACTAGTCAACACCTTGTCCATTGTCATTGAATTAGATCTCTACAAATTCCAAGTATAATTTCAACGAGAATGATAAAGAATCACAGCATAATTGATTGCAGCGGAACAATGGCTTTGGCTAACTATTACTTTCTTTGGTTGGGTGTGAAGAACACAAGGAGAGAGAGATAAGTGGGAACAATGGGTATGAATAACATGAGATAAGGAACAAGAAAGCGATTAAGAGAGATAAATCACAAAGTATTTTTCTGTAATTTATCCAACAAATTAAACATTAAACTGGTATGTAAATGAATTGTCGGATCAACTCCTCATTTTCATTGCCCCTTTATTTTTAATAGGCAAGAGTATTCATTCCCAAATGAATTGCAGCTTCTTCTGTTTGCTGTTAAGCTTCAACTCTAACTGAAACTCTTCTCCAATAAGCATAGACAAGTCCGACATCTCTGCAATGCCAAACCGTTCTCCATTGCTATGAAAGCTTGTTGTTACATCCATATTTCCATTCTTGTTAGTGGGCAACTCAAACCCCTTAATTCCATTAATCTTTTCTAGACCTATAAATGTCAACTTGTCTATAATCCAGTTCCGACTGACTGCAAACTCACCATTCACAACGCTTGATCTGACCGTTAGTTTATCTCCAACAACAACGGCATGAAATTTCACCAAACTCCAATTTCTGCTTTCTCCACCCATCTCTACTTCTTCCCCGTCATCTAAGAAAACTTGTCCACTGCTGTTTTCCTTGCTACTAGCCACAACTAGGAGGTGAAATGGCATGCTTTGAGCTTCTTTTGTCGTCAGGGCTTCTCCTTGCTGTAGCACCAAGATACTCCCTTCTCGAACATGTACATTTATATGATCAGGCGGTGCATCAAGCATAACGTACTCTCCTTTTTCTACAATGATAGAGTTATTGTGGTTAAAGAGGTCAAACCAATTTCCTGCTGGGAAGTATGCATCAACAGTAACTGCTCCTGGCTTCAAGACTGGTGACACCAATATGCCGTTTCCAATCAAAAACTGTGAGCTGATTTCATAAGTATTTATGTCTTGAGGGAAAGAGAAAAAAAGGGGTCGTGCAATGGGGGTTCCATTTGTGTGTGCCTCATACATTAATGTGTACATGTGGGGAAGTAGCTGGTAGCGGAGGCCTAGCACCTTCTTGGCTGTTGCAGCAACTGATTCCCAGAGATAAAGCTCCTGACGCCTTGTGTTTATTGCTGAGTGGTCTCGCGCAAAGGGGTAAAAGGCACCTAGCTGCACCATTAAAACATCATAATCATCAAACGGAAAGCATAAGCACCATAGGGAACCACTCTTTTTACTAGGTTTTGTACAATTCAAAGCAGGAATAGCTCTTGGTAGTAATTCTGTCATATTTATTCTAGAGTTTCTTCTTTCTTTCAGTTTTTAAATCAGTCCAAATTGAGAATGGTTCTACAAATAAAAGTTCGCAATTGATTATTTTTTGCCATATTTGGGACATGAGAAAAATAAATATAATCTGCTTGTTAGGTAATGCATGTAAAGAGAGCTGACATTCCCCTTCTGCATTTAAATGACAAAAGGACTCCTTACCTGAATCCAACGTCTACAAAGCTCTTCAGTTGTGTTTCCAGAAAAACCACATATATCGGCTCCAACCATTGGGATTCCGAAGATTCCGAAACTGAGAATTGCTGGAATAGAGTATGCCAAATCATCCCAGGTAGCAGCATTATCACCAGTCCAATGAGCTGTGTACTTTCCAGAGCCCACAAAGGTTGATCTAGAGAGTATAAATGGCCTTTTTCCAGTCACATCGATTAAAGCTGCATTTGTCGCTTTGGCTTCTAATAGGCCATAAAGGTTGTGGGCATTGTACACCGTAATGTTACCAAAATGAACAGAAGTTGCTGGCACAGTTAAGTTATTGATTGGT